CTGTCAATGCCACACACTCCTTGGGGGAGTGAGGGTTGCACTGTGACTGCTCCAGTGGCTGAGGGGACCTCACTGTTTCCAATGTCAAGCCTGTGTTTCTATGGGAACCCAGCCATCCCCCCGCTACAGTAAGACCCAGCCCAACTCACAGGACATTCAGCTACTTTCCACTGAGAGATATTTTTTCTTTGGGGAGATTTCTTGCCTCATTTTGGATCAAGCTTTTATTTTAAATTAGTGGTGAGCTCTAAGCATCGTGGAGATCAATGCAGGAAGCTTCCCCCTTTGTTCTTGATATTGTACATGTACAAGAAGCAATGGAAGGTGAAGCCTGCCTGGGCTCAGAATGACTGTACAGATATGGCAGTGATTTTGCTGTGGCTGAGGGCGACCGTGGGGCACACCTGTTTCCCAAGTTACTGCCTCAGTTTACCTGAAGTGATTTTAATTTGGCTCTGGGTTTACTCATTTAGAAACACTAAGGAAAGCTTTGCTGCAATTTCTGGTTAAAATTGGCACATCGATCATGTGTGTTTTTCTGCATTCCCTCTGAATCATCACAAAATTATAGTAAATGAATAGGAAAAGATATCAATCCAAAGGGATGTGGATACCAGCAGATCAGACATGTCAACACAATTTTGGAAAACAGAAAATACATGGCTTAGCTTAGTTAATACCTGTGTATTTAGTTAATACATAGGTATTAACTAAAACCTATGTACCAGCAAGTTTGTGTGTGTGTGTGTGTGTGTGTGTGAGAGAGAGAGAGGTACTGGTATAACAAAAAAGAAAAGCTATGGTTGTTCCAGTTACTGTTGGTGCACAACAAACTAACCCAAATGAGAGTACACAAAGGTCATTTTGTCATCCCCACAGATTCTGTGGGTCAGGAATTCAGACAGAGCAGAGCAGGGCTACCTTATGTCTGATCCACTGTGTCAAGAGCCCTGGCTGGGAATACTCAAAAGCTGGACTCAGCTGGAGCTGTCAACGGAGCACCTCCACGTGGCCTCTTATGTGGCAGGGCTTCCTCACAGCATGGTGGCTAAGTGCACAGTGGGAACATTCCAAGTCTCTAGGTGACAGCCGCTTGGCCTTTTCTGACTTAGTTGCAGATGCCACATTGCCCTTCTTTTAACCATAATCAGTTGTTTGAAGCAGTCACAAGCCTGCCAGATTGAAGGGTCCATAGACTCCTACCTCTCAACAAAAGAGTAGCAGAGAACTGTGGAACCATGTTTTACAACTACAACAACGGTCACACAGAACCCCAGGAGACTTGCAATCAGAAGCACCAAAGGCCAGGATGTGGCACAGCCACCCTGTAGAAGGCAGGAAAGTTACTCCTTGGAGACACTGACCAGGGAGGCTCTGAACTTGGAGATTCCGGTCAGAGTTGAGGACACAGAACCCAGATGGAGAGCAGATGAATTAAGTGAAAACCTGCTTTTTGAATAGTCAGACCCCTCCCACTCAGCCCTCCACTCGGTTTTGGGAACGTTGCCGCCAGGATTATGCCCGTTACCCAGAATGTCAAAGGATTCTTCTTTGGTGAAACTGAGAAACCAAAGAAAAATGACCTATTAATTGACATAAGACCACCAGGTACCCACCTGATAAACCTACAGTGAAGTGATCCTATGACAAGCTCCACTCATCCTCACTGAGCTTCCAGCCAGCCGACTGGGGCCTTAATTAGTGAAAGAGATGGCCCTAGACACCTGGGCAGCTGGGGAAGACCTCTGTTGGGAAGACACAAACACACAAACAGACGAAACAGCAACAAACAGAAAAAAGGAACTCAGGGAAAGAAGTACAATGCATTAGAAAAACAAAGACAACTCAAAGACAATGCAAGAAATAGCCAATGGTGAGATGTTAAAAAGAGAACTTTTAGGGTATGTGAAAGAGCTCTTAGAAAATTAAAAAAAAAATGTGGCAGAGGTAAAAAACTCAATAGGAGTTTGGGAAACGGTGTTGAGGAAATCTTCCAGAAAATGGAACAGAAAACCAAAGAGACATACAAGAAGAAAATTCAAGGACTAATCAAGGAGAGACATCTGACAAAAGAGGAGTTCCAGAAATAGAAAACAGAGAGAGAGGAAATCATTACAGACATTTACCAAAATGGAAGGAGGGGAATTTTTTAGGCTGCAAGAACCATGAAGTGCTTAGCACAATGGTGGACAAAAACCCCCCACATCAATGCATATCATCATGAAACTCAGGACTCCAGGGATAATGAGAAGATATTAAAGGCGTGTTGTGGAGGAGTGGGAAAAAAGAACGAAGAGGGGGGGAGAGAGAGAGAGAGAGAGAGAGACTGAGAGACAGTGAGAGAGAATAGATCCTATGCAAAGGATTTAAGATGAACTTGACCTCAGACTCCTGCTCAACAGCCATGGGAATCGAACACCAGTGGAAGGATGCCTTCCACACCCTGAGGGGAAATGACATGCATCCTAGAATTTCATACTCAGACAAACTTTCAGTAAGGTGCAAAGCTCAATGAGTAAATTTGCTGCTAGAAAACTTGACTGATTGCTTATGAAAGTGTCCACATTTTCCTTGGTTTAGATTCACACAGAATCTTTCAGAAGATTCTGAAAGATCTGCAGCCTCATCTAGTATGGTGTTTATCCCAAATTTACAGGTACCCTCCTGACATGCTTTTCCCTTCAAGTGGGTCCCATGTCTGTTTTCCTTTATGGTCAAACTTCTCGAAAACATAGTATACATCAGTGCTTCTAACTTTTTTGGACCTCTTTTTTTTTTTTTTTTTTTGACACAGTCTGGCACTGTCGCCCAGGCTGGAGTGCAATGGCAGGATCTTGGCTCACTGCAACCTCCACCTCCTGGGTTCAAGCAATTCTTCTGCCTCAGCCTCCAGGGTAGCTGGGACTACTGGCATGTGCCACCACACCCAGCTAATTTTTGTAATTTTAGTAGAGATGGTGTTTCACCAGGCTGGTTTGAACTCCTGACCTTGTGATCCGCCCCCCTCAGCCTCCCAAAGTGCTGGGATTACAGGCGTGAGCCCTGTACCTGGTGGATCCCTCTTAAGAATTGATAAAAGTGACAGAACATCTTTTAGAAATGAAAAATGAATGTATGCATACGTATGTGAGATTTTCCAGTTAACCTGGAAGGTCCACAGGTACACGGGCCACCTGCTCTTTCTCTTCTCACACCCAGTTTTTACATGCACTGTCTTATTCCATTTTATTAACTACCTTCTTCTTATTTTTTCTTTTGTATTACAAAAGTAATATAATGCAGAAAAATAAAATCAAAGAGAAAGTCCCAATTTATCCCCGTCTTACTGGATTATTCTCCCTCAGGTGTTCTGATTTATCCTCCAGGTATTTTTAAATTATGTGTGTGTATCTGTGTGTGTGTGTGGTCGGCGGGGGGGGGGGTGTTCATGTATACATACAAAGTAACTGCTTATAATCTATCTTACAGTCACATAGTGTGTTTTGAATAAAACCCATATTTCGAATCACAATATAAATATCCTGCTACAGGTTGAGTATCCCTTATATGAAATGCTTGGGACCAGAAGTATTTCAGATTTTGAATTCTTTTGGATTTTGGAATATTGACATTATACTCAGTGGTTGAGCATTCCTAATCTGAAAATCCAAAGTCCAAAATGCTCCAATGAGCATTTCCTTTGAGCATCATGTGAGCACTCAAAAAGTTTTGGATTGTGGAGCACTTTGGATTTTCAGATTTAGGATGCTCAATCAGTATTTGGCTCCTCATGTGATAAATTATGGACGACGTCCTCCATGTTAACACATAGAGATTTTTTTTCCCACTGATTTTGTCAGTTCCATTATATTCCTTAGAATGAGTCCTCTTTTATTAACTTTACGCCTTTTTGGTGGCTATTTAAGTTGTTTGAACTTTTTTTTGCTTATACAAAGAGTGCTGCAATGAAATATACATAAATATATAGAGAAATCAGTAGAAATATATACATATATATTTACATCACCAGCAATACGTTTGTAGAACAGATTCTTAGAAGTAGAAGTGCTAGGTATGTATTTTAAATGTTCTGTGGTTGTTGCCAAGCTATTCTCCAACAACATTGTACGAATGTATACTTCCACCAACGGAGTACTGGAAGGCCTCTGTCCTCATGCCTTCTCCAATGCTGGATGCTAGCAATAGTTTAAAAATATTGAGGATGGGTCAAAAGTAGTATAGTAGTTCAAAGTTGCTTTAATCCTCATACATTTAACCCAACTTAATTCAACCCAAATGAATGCTAACTCTTACAGCAGACAGACTCCATGATCGAATGAGCTAACACGATCAGGTTGTATTTTCTAGCTTACTCTGTCTAAAGCCCTGCCCTTGGACTCAGGGCAGCTGACGCAGGGAAGGGAGGGGCACAGGAGTCAATACACTCAGTCTGCCTCAGCTCTGCAGGGGTTCTTGTCACCTGATGCCCTGTCTCCTTCGCCAGACTGGTGGGTCTGTCCCCTGCCAGGGAAGTTGGGAAACTCTTGCTGTCACCAAAGTTTGTCTTTGTTTTGCAAAGTTTTGCAAAGTTTGGCAATGTTTGGCAAAGTTTTGCTTTGCCAGTGTTTTTATTGGTTTGTCTTTTTCTTTTACTAATTTGTAAAGGCTTTTGATGTATGATGGACCATAACCCTTAGTTTTGTCATGGGGGGCTTAAATATTTCCTCCCACTTTATTGTTTGTTTTAAAACTCTGTGTTCTCTTTCGCCCTACACACATGTTTCGGCTTTATGTGTTTCCAGGTAGCAATATTCTGAGAGCTTCTGGATTTTCATGTTTTGCTTGGGGGGGTTGTCCTGTGCCAAGGTTATGACATCTCCTTCCACATGTTTCTATTAAGTTGATAGTTTTTAAAGGGTATTGATATATTTAACCCAACTGGCATCTGTTTTCATGTACATTGTGAGGGTGTGGGATTTTCGGGGCAGCTCTCTTCACCCTTCTGAATCCCTTGTCTCTAGGACACTGCTGGCCTCTGAGGGACTGGATCCCAGGGCTGTGTTTCCTGCTCCCCTTGCCTTGCCCTGTGACGCCGCTGGCTGTGATGCCCACTCCTTTCTCGCAGTTCCTTCCTGGGCTTCAACAGAGGCCTCCGACCCTCATTTCCATCCTTCTGCTGCAACTGCTCCTTCCAAGATCCTCCTTGGTGCCCCCCCTGCCTCATTACCCTTCCTCCAGCCTAGCTGGAGAGCCCTCCCCAGGAGCCTCAGAGCTGGTTTCGTGCCTCTGTCTCCTGCCAGCCACTGTGGTCTGTATGCCACTGGCTAGCCCCCTGCAGGTGCCTGCACACCTTCCCTCTCTGGACACCTGCCTCTTTCTCGTCCCCTCACCGACAGACCCTAGGCACTTCTGTCTTCCCCTCCCATCCCGACAGGTCCCCTCCACTCTGGCCATATGGCTGACCCAGCCGATCTCTCTTCCCAGCCTAGACCTTGTTTCCAGTGACCTTCCAGCTTCCTCCTACTCAAGGACTCCTGCTCCAGACCATGGCGCTGCCTGCGCTTCCCGCAGCCTGACACCCCATAGCTCCATGGCTTTGCAGGGGCCACGTCTTCTGTGCAGAATTCTTCCTCCAGCTCCCTTTCTGGCAAATGCCTGTTTCCTTCCAGCCCGGTTTAATCTACACCCTCTGCAATATCCCCTGACCTGCCAAGTGACTGGGTCTTCCTCTCTGCCACTTCACAATCCGGCAGAGCCTGCGCAAGCCGAGCTTGGCCTGAGGCTCTGGTGTGCCAACTCACTGTCAGTTGTTGATGAGACCTTGAGCTCCCGGAGGCCAGAGCCCCAGTCCTCCCGCCCTCGGCTCCCAGTGCCTGGTGCCTCGCAGCGGCGGGGACCTGATGAGAATAAAGCTGTGAAACAGATGGTCTTGGAAGGTGAGGAGGGCAGGGGCTGTCCCTGTATAGGTCAGGTGGGCCTTGGCAGCAAGAGTAAGTAGCCAGCCACGCCAGGCACTGCTGTGGGAGCTCAGGCCTGCTCTGCCCTGTCTGTCCATTCAGCTGCAGCGCCACAACAGGGAGGGTCCACGGCTGGGAGCCTGCCCAGCTTGATCGAAACTTCTTTTTAAAAGCACGCATTTGTTCTTCACATTCCAAAGCCTCACCCAGCCCTCCTAGAACTACCCTGCTGTGCACAAGGCCCCCAACACCCCTCAGAGGGAGTGATGACTGTGAAGATGTCTTGGAACTGGGATCTACCACGGGGTCAGGCGGGCCCTGCCTGTGCGGGCACACACACCACTGGATGCGTTTCCCTAAAGCCCCTGGAGTGAAAGTGATGCTGCCCTCCACTGCCTTCAGCAAGAGGCATCGGTAGGAGGCTTTCCAGGCCCTGAGTGCGGAGTCATCCGGAGGGCTGGCTGCTGCGTCCAAGCACACACTCTGACCTGGCTGGAGCTCAGGTCCGGTCACAGGCTGGGTCACCTTGGCCTTTCGTCCTCTCAGCACGGAGTGACTGAGGAGGACCAGCTGCTTTTCAGCCTCAGAAGTTGGCTAGCAGTGGGGTGCAGACCCTGCCCCTGATAAGGAGAGTTTAGCTGTCCCTTCTCTGTCAGTCCATCTACGTTACATGCAGTCCTCTCCCCACTGGACTTCCTTTAAACCTGGGTTGGCAAAGCATCAACATGTGAGTCGCCACCACTTCCTTCCTCTTGGGCAGCCACCGTGAACTCACCACAGGCTGCGTCTGAACATAGCCTCAGAATCCTTCTCAACACTGGAGGAGAACCACCGTGTGAAATGAGCGCTGCAGACCATGCGTGCTGCTGGGGCGATGATGAGACACCTCTGAAGGTGCCTGTTGTAGCTCGAGGGAAAACCCTGACCATTTCCACAGTGATCATCACAGATGGTTGGCAACGGGGTCAGGGGCGCCTTGGGGCTTCTAGTTCAACTCTCTTGTTTGGAGGATGGCATGGTTTGGATCTGTCTCTCCACCCAAATCCCTTTGCAATCCCCAATATAGAAGGTGGGACCTGGTAGGAGGGACTGGATCATGGGGATGCTTCTTGTGATAGTGAGTGCTCACGAGATCTGGTTGTTTAAAACTGTGTAACCCCTGCCCCCACCCTTGCTTCCTCCTGCTTGCTTGCCCCTTGCCTTCCGCCATGACTGAAAGGTTCCTGAGGCCTCCCCATGCTTCTGGTGCAGCCTGTGGAACCATGAACCAATTCAACCTCCCTTTATCAATTACCTAGTCTCGGGTATTTCCTTATAGCCGTGTGAGAATGAACTAATACAGAGGACGAGGACACAGAAGCACAGAGAAGGTGAGTGACGCCCCATGCGTGTCCAGCACAGCATTCCAAGGCATGCCTTGTGGGCCACTGGGCCCTGTGGAGTGGTGGGGACCACACGCGCAGCTTGAGGACACCGCATTCTGGGGCTCCCTCTGAGGGACTGTGTATGTGGTTGATGTTACAGGTTCTAACAAGCATGGCTGTGAGGAGCTGATTTTGCTCACAGCATGTGGTGCACTATGCGTGTGATCATACGCATTCCCCGTGTGGTCCTCCAGCCCCCAGGGAGAAGCCCACACTGGGGAGGCTGTGCCTGCTTCTACCTGAAAACACTGAGGCTGGCTCAGGTGTCCACAGTTGGTGATGCAAGCAGGAGCAGGGCCAGCTGTTCTCTTTATTTCCATCAGAACCAGAGTGGTAGAGTATCAGTCACTGGCTCCATCGCCCATGGGGCTGACGATGCATTTCTGCTGTCAGAATCTCACACTCTTGGGACCAAGCTGAGCGAGATCAGGTTTCCAGGCATCCACATGTGGTTCCTATAATGAAGACAGACGATCTCCTTGAGTGGAAAGCAGTTTTCCATCACTGGCATCCCAGAAACAGTACCTGGGATCTATTAAAGCCTTAGTAGGTATTCACTGAAAATTTTAAAAATCAGTTAAATGCTTGTCTGTGCTAATAATGCCTCTTTGTCCAAGCACATTAACCCAAGCATGAGTCCTGCATGTATTGAGGTGTGTGTGAAAGTGCATTTGCACGCAGATATGTCACTACTGTCAAAACCAGATAGCGTTGCTTTGACCAGGTTGCATGCACCAGGATGCAGCACAGAGAGCCCACGACCGTGCCATGTCACTGCTGTGACAGGTTGGTGCTGCTGGAGACGTGGAATGAGCTCATAGAGGGGACTGAAGGTGAAACAGAGACTCAGGTCCTGATGATGTTGCTGCATACACACCACCCCCATGTAGACACTGGGAACAACCATCGTTTTATTGTATCATCTAATTGTGCGGATTAGGAATTTGAACAGTTGTTCCCTGCCCCACAGAGCTGATAGTGGTTACTTGTGATACCACATCTGGCACATGAGTTGTTCGGGGAAGTCCAAGACAGATTCACTCCCATGCTGGGGCCTCTATGGGGGTGGCCAAGAGGCTGAGCTTGGCAGGGGCCATTGACCAGAGCACCCACACGTGTCTCCATCTCAACTGTCTTGGGGTCTGTGGACTTTCTCCCAGAGGGAGAAGGTTGCAAGAGAGGAGGTAGAAGCTGCCAGGCTTCTGTGAGTGAGCCTTCAATGTGCGTCTCTCCTGGTACGTCCCCTGGAAAAGTCAATGGAACTAGCCCGGATTCATGGGACTGGGAACTGGCTTCACTTCTCCATGACAGCAGGAGCAGAGGCTTTGCAGCCACCCTTCATCTGTACAGACTGACGGGCCCTCAGATGAGTGCAGTGTGCCGTGGAGAAGGGAGAACCAGCCCTTCCCACTGAGGAGGCAGGGCTGAGCCTATGTGCTTGCTTCTCTGCCAAGCCCCTCCGCATTGCTCTGTGGCCTCTCTGCCAACTCCATGCCCCTTGAGGCTGGCTCTTAGCAACAGCATCTTCCTCTCCCTTGCTCTTCACCCCTGCCCTTAGGCCACGCCTGCTGCACTGCCCTTGTGCACACCTCCCTTCATGAGTCCCTCTTCTGTTAACCCTGTGCCCGTGCCATCTGTTTTCAACATGGGCCTGACCCCAAAGGCACATTCAAAAAGAATTAATCATATTTTTACGATAACAAAATGACAAAAATTACATGATCAGTTTGTAATAAAATGATACATGCTAAAAAGTAACTTGGAAGATTTTCCTTCTTTGGAGTGTCTGAGGGGTTATCAAGGCCCTTCTGGAACTGACGATATGCGGAAGTGTTTGCTCCACCTTACGGATACCAGGCCTGGGAGAACCCCTGATCTCCAGCAGGAGATCACACATCTGCCCTGCTGCCCAGGTAGCGTGAGGCACTTGGCTCGGCTTGTCTCCTCGGTGCATTGGGCACCCTCCATCCACCTTGGGAGGTGTGGCACAGGGTGTGGCCAGCGGGCGTGTTGGGCACTTTCCATCCACCTTGGGAGGCGTGGCATGGGGTGTGGCCTGCAGGGGGTAGCTTCTGCATCAGACAGTCCACATGTGAGACGCGCTCCCCACCCCTCTCGAGATGCCTGCTATCTGCAGAAAGAGATTCCACTGGGCAGCCCCCAGAAGAGGAGACTTCAGCATACTGTTGGTGGTTAATAAATGCCAGCTCCCCTCTGTGATCTTGTTGCTTCAGGAGGGTAGGTGAGAGGGTCCAGGCTCACGGGGCTTGCCCTCATATTTTCTTGAAGAAAAACACAGAATTGTGAGTCCTATGTTGGGTGTGGGTGGTGAGGGTGGTGAGGCTGAGTGCATGCTGCATTTGGGGAGGGTTTGAGGTGCCCGGGTTCCTTCACGCCTGTATTCAGAAGGCAGCACTGATGCTTCTGATTTGATCCTCACCGCAGCCTGCCAGCAGGGTCATGTGGCTGTGAGCACCTGAAGTGTACAGTGAGGAAATGGAGACGGGGGCGTTATGTCTGGTACCCAGAGCCCTTGGCTGGCCCAGGAGAGACAAGGCCGATCTGGAGCTCCAGTGAGCCCCGGGCCAGGCTATGCCCACTGAGCTCCTCACTGAGACCCTGATGGATGCAGAGATGAAGGATAGGGGAGGCAGGCTGGGGAGTGTCCTGGAATGTGGGGAAACCCAGGGGGTGGGAAGATGAACCAAGAAGGAAGGAATGAGCATTCTTCCTTGCAGCTCCTCCTGCCCCTCATATCTGCAAATGCCCCTCTGGGTTTCTGCTACTGCTGTGACCTTTACACTAGGATGTTCACATGAGCCCATCCCTGCCCCCCACCGCTCACTGAAGCTGGGCCATGCAAGGTGAAGGGCTGACTTGGACCTCCTTAGTCTGCAATCCTGAAGTGGGGTGCAGGGTCAGGGAAGGCAAGCCCCGGGGCCAGTGGGTCTAATTCAGAGGCATCACGGTGAAGGGAGGGAAGCTAAGGAGCAGGAAAAGTGGCTTCGTAGTGAGAACAGACGCAGAACCACTTCCTTCTAGGGGAAGCTCGGGCTTCCTTCTTGGAAATGAATAACTCGCTTGTATTGACTGGTTCTACTTGAGGGCACCTTCTCTGACAGTGCCCTGACCCAAGGCTGCATGGCCCAGGAGCCAGTGGACCTGGCTGGCCTTGCTGCCTCCATCCATGTCATCCCTATAAGTGTCTCTTCTCTTCAGGCCACGACATTGAAAGGCTTTGGTTCCTCTTCTTAGCAGTTTCTACTTCTCCAAGTATCTGACAAATGAAGGGCCATTGCTCACCCTGGAGGCCGCTCTCCCCTTGACACCACACCCCCAGGCAGCTCCATGTAGACCTCCACTGTGAAAATGCAGCAGAGAAGCTTTGGCCTCATGCTGTGTCGTTCCCCTTACACTGGAAAAGACACCTGAGGTCACGTGAGGCTGGTGGGCAAGGAGTTTGTCTGCCCCGACCAGGCAACTCTGGCCTGCAACCCACATGGGACTGACCACTTCCTGAGAAGAGGAGCTCCTCACGGCCACACTCAGGGCTGTCGTCTCTCCCTGCGCCAAAAGACTGGGTCCCTGGCATGCCCCTAGGCCTCCTTGAGGTCCTTCTGGCCAAATCCAGACTCCCGTTGGCATCAGTGCTGTCACTTCACCATCTATGCCTCTTTCAAACCCTCTGTGCTCCTCAGCAGGGTGGGGTTGGAGGGGTGGGGACTGGGGCTGTGGGGTGCAGTCTCTTTCCTTCCTCTGCCTTCTAGGTCCTCCATGCTCTTGAGGTGCTGGGCACAGGGAGGAGAAAGCTGGGTGACCTCCAGAGGGAGAGGGGAGCCCGTGAGTGCCATGTTGGGATGGGAGAAGCAAAGCCTCAAGGACAAGAAGCTGAAGGTGCAGTACTAGAATGCCTTGCAGACTTGCTCCTCTTGTACCAAGACATGTGTGGCCCCCAGACTCTTTCACGTATTTGATAGACAACCCTGTCACATGTCCACCAGGGTTTTGGAAAAACCCTGTTGCTTATTCTTGAATGGAATCATCCAACAATGATGGGATATCACTTAGGAAGCATCATGTCTCAGCAAAGTCTTGTGCTCTGTAGAAGGACAATTTTGGGAGCATTAACGCTCTCTCTGCATTGTTTTCTTAACGCTTTCTGTAGTGTTTAGTGATGATATTTGGGAATCAAAGTGCATAGTTAATTTGAATTTGCAAGAAGAAAAACTTCTAAGAGGTAATACTTTTCTTCTTTAGCAAGAGGGGCCATGCTCTGCCCATGCACCAGGGGAGGGGCAGAAAGAAGAAAGCTGCGGAGCCTGCAGGAGGCTGGCTGATTTCTCACCAGCTGAGCCCTCCCCAGGCAGCTTTGTCCAGGCCTTCATGGCTGTGGAGAATAGATCCTGCATGCCTTTTGTCCTCTGCGAGCATATGCCACTCCGGTATGGCCACCAAATGTTCTTCTCCGTGGTGCATGCCAGGGAGCTTTGCACACAGCATTCCATAGATAGCGGGGACTAGGGGACACACCCCAGGTGGACATGTGACAAGCAGAAGAGTAGTGCAGTGTGCTGGTCAGGGCGAGCATGCAAAGATCAGGCCACCTCTTGGGGAGACGGCCCATAGTGCAGAAAGAAGTCATCTTTCTTTCTGGCCATTCTCTTTTTCTCTACACACGAGCCCTGCAATAGGACTCAGTGACTGCTGCCTTCATTCTGGGCTGGGCCACTCCTGCTCTCCAGGGTGGAACACTGAGATCTAAGGGCCTCTCCCTGTCATGATCCCTGTTTATCCTTCGTTGTGCTAAACACGATGTTTGTCATTACTAAAGGGCTCTTAAAATTGCATCTGCACGTCTGAATAGCCTGCTAATGCAGAGCTGCCCTTTGCATTTAACAGAGGAACCTGCTTTTGCCTGGCTCTAGGACAATGCTTCTTGCTGGACTCCTGCCAAGTGCAGCTGGGCTGGGCCTGGAGCGACCAATCCACTGATCCACCAATCCGGAGGGCAGCCCAGGAGGAGCGAGATCTTAGTGGAGGGACGCCCTGCCTGTCTGTGGAATGGCTTCTTCCTGGGGCAACCCCGAGAACAAGAGGGAAAACAGCCTGTCCTCCTCGCCTCCTGCCCTCCTGCAGGTAGCCACCTCCCCAGCTAATTGAAAACAAAAAGGGACGCCGTTGTGAAATTCAGCCCCCAGCGCCATCATCGTCTCCTGCGGGCTCAGGGAGCTCCTCACTGTGTTTATTTACAAATCAGCACATGCTGTTTTGGCCACGGCAGCAGACAGTGACCCCAGAGAGGCAGGCCCGGAGCAGTACACAAATTGCACAACACAACCGGGTCATCTGTCCCCTTTGCTGAAGATTCTTAAGAAAACAGAGGCAGCTGACTGCGCGAAGAGGCCATCTGGAAGCCACCCTCAGGGGCCGAGGGCTCGGGGCGTGTACGCCAGCCTTGGGGGTGCTATCCGGACACCAACAATGTCACTGCTGCTGCCAGCCTCAGTTTCTCCATCTGCCAAGGGCGCATGGTGGGGAGGGGAGGCGGGGGGTCAGCATGCAGTGATTAGCAGCCACCTGGGGTACTCTACCGGCCAGGCGTCTGTGCTGTGTCCTATAGTTTCAGCCTCACGTTCTCTCTCATTTTACAGATGAGACAGCAGCTGGGTGGCTGCCGATTGTTGCCCTGCCCATGGCTGCCCTGGCCTGTAGCCGAGGCTGTGATGAAGGGCAGCAGCGGCTGCTGTTCTGTGCGAGGCAGTTAAGCAAGGTGTCCGGTGGGCTGCATGGTGACTGGGTCAGCCAGGCTCTCCCCTGTGTCTTCCTTCTGCTCGCAGAGCTCGGGGCGCAGTTTCTGGATGGAGGCTGCGGGAGCTGCTTCCTGCTCCGTGCTCCCACACCGTTCTTCAGCTGACCAAGGAGTGACAGCAGGACCCCAGGGATCTGCCCCTGTGCGGCAAAGCACACACTTTCAGTGCCGCAGCTGATGCTTGAGACATCCAGTGGGAGGTCATTGCTTGGACTAAGACACAAGTCCAAGCACAAACGTCCCCCTGAGGTGTCGCCGGGGGTGTTCGGAGTGGGGGATGGGAAGAGGAACAATCCTCGGATGGGGTCCTTGAGAAGACTTTTGGAAGGATCCAAGAGGAACTGACCCCCTCCACTGCCCCCAGACGGTGCACAAAGAAAACGGGCCCAAGAATCCCCAGAACTGGACTCTGACATCCACACTGTCTCCTTGCTGGTCACCAGCAATTGCTGTGGCTCACCCTCCTGGTGCTTCTGTGGGCCATCTGGGCACCTTGGGGAAGTCCCAGGGATTCCCATCAGCACCCCCTTCTCCCTGAATGTTCTATCCCACTGGCTCCCCAGGGCGGGGCTGGAGGGAAGAGCAGTGGCCCGGCGTTGTGAGGTCCTGCAGGGCTGATGGGAGTGGCTTCTGTGGGTGCCATGGCTCTCCTGTGTGGGTCTCCTGCCCTGGGCTCTGGGTGTGGGCCTTGATGGGCACAGGACTGTTCTTCTACCTCGTGGCACCTGGCCCTGTAGAGATGACAATTTCTGAAACAAGAGCATTTCCTCTGAATTCCAGGGAGCTTGGCTCAAGGGCCAACTTTGCCTTATGCAGGCTGGAGCCTGAATGTTCGCTCTGCTACCTGCTGTGTGACCTTGCAAAAAGTCCTTAAGTTTTCTGGGCCTTACTTTCTCTTTGGGATAGTATTACAAAAGGCTGCTTGAGAAATGGGATGCTTTCAGAGAAAACAGAATGAAAGCACCGGGCACAGTAAAATTCAACTGCTATTCGTTCCTTTCTCCCTTATTGAAGAAGGAAGGCAGATGAAAGCAGCTTTCAGGAATGGCAGCTTGGAGAAGAGGAGAGGGAGTGGAGGCCTAGAAGAGGAGAGGCAGTAGGGGCTATGAGAATCCTCTGACATTGGCTGAGAGCCAGCAGTAAGAAAGAGAAACAAGTTGTCCTTCATGTACCCACTGGCTTCTTCCTTGCACCCTCGGGTGCCGAGCTGAGCTGCAGACACCCAGACCCGACAGCCCTTCCTCCGGAGCTGGCCGTCCACGTTGGGAGTGACATTTGGCCAATTTCTGATTTTGAAACACAGAAACCAGGAGAGTTGAGTTAAATCAGGTTTACCGATATGAGTGGCTTATTGACTATAGGTGCCCCTGGCCAGGCCCAGAAGTCCAGGGCTGGAGGGTGTGTGAGCCACCCAAATGCAGGGCCGGCCCTGGCAGGCGAGCACACAGCTAATGGTAATGGATGGCATCGGAATACGGAGCCAAAGTTTCTGGCAAGAAAACAATGAAAAATGCGCTATCTCTGAATTTTGCTCTAGGACTCAGTTGAATTTTAGTGGTCATGACCAGAGATGAAATTCAACCAGTTGACTGATATTTTTAGAAATGCCTCAGGCTTTGTCGTCTCAACACTGGGGAGTAAGTATCCCAGAAATCTTGGGAGTGTGGGTCACAGCACCTGAACATTAGTCCTGTACACCTTAACATCAGAATCATGGATTCCCAGGTTCCCCTTGCAGAGATTCTAGTTGGGTTGGAGCCTGGGAATCTGTGTAAAAATACCTCCCCAGATTTGGAACCACTACCATAGACAATTAAGCAAAGAATGAGGTAAGGCATTCTTTTCTCCAAAATGTAATTTTCTGGGGCCCTGCTAGAGATGTGTCACCTGTCTAGGTCTCTTCTCTGGTGGGAGCTCAGAGTCCTCCTGAGAGGGGCATGAAGGAGAGAGCCTCTGGCCTTTCCCTCTGTCCTTTGCTCTAAAAACACAGCCCTGTTTAACCCGACAGAGGATGACTTTCTTCTCTGAAGTGCTCCGGGTCACGCTTGGGGACACATGAAGGATACGCCCTCCTTGTCAGGCTCCCATCGCGCACGTTGAACCTGGCTTGTGAACACAGCCGTCCTGGACGCTACTAGGAACAAAGTGTTCCCGGCGCTGTAGGAGCTCAGCTGCCACCTGGAAAACCTGTTTGGCCACTTTAGGTCCAGATGACAGGAGCCAGATGACGGGATCTGGGCTGCTGTACCCATCGTGCCTCCCAGCTGGAGGGGCTCCTGGCAGCTTTGGGGCCTCCTGCTGTCATGTCACCTAGCCCCTCACCATCACTGTCCTCATTATCTCCTGGATGGGTGTGTCCACACCATTCCTAGCCTCATTTATTTATTTATTTTTGAGAGAGGGTCTCGCTCCATCACCCAGGCTGGAGTGGAGTGGCACCATCTCGGCTCACTGCAACCTCCACCTCTGGGGGCTCAAGTGATCCTCCCACCTCAGCCTCCTGAGTAGCTGGGACCACAGGTACACACCACCATTACCAGCTAATTTTTTGCATTTTTGGTAGAGATAGGGTTTCTCCATGTTGCCCATGGCTGGTCTCGAATGCCTGAGCTCAAGTGATCTGCCTCCCTCAGCCTCCCAAAGTGCTGGGGTTACAGGTGTGCACCACCACACCTGGCCTCATTTAGAGACTGAGAAAACCAGGTCCCAAGAAATTTGCTCACTATTGAGGATAGCCGTCAACAGACACCAGATTTGGGCATCGAGTTAGCAAGCTCTGGCCATGAGCTTTAGTAGTAGCCCAGAAAACATCCCCAGAGTCATTTTTAGAATGAGTTCTTCTTACTTAACCTTATTAAAAGACTTAAATGTGCATCAATAGTTCCCACAAAAGCCTAGTGTTACTGTTTTAAATACTGAGTTCATGAGCCAGTCAAAGACTGGGGCTCTCGCTGGTTCATTAGCTTGTTTCATGTTTGGAAGGAGACCCACGTTTATGTCCAGAACCTGATATTCTGTGTATGTGCTGATCTTGTTGGGAAGTGGTTTGAATAAAGCCAGAAATGCCGGTATATTTAGTTATGAATCCTGGTTTGCAAAGGTGCTGACTTTGGCTGTCCACAAGATCATTGGCCCCATAGCTTTCGTAACCTTCCCACACAGCTGTGGTCTTCTCTGTGGGACCTAGACGGAGGAACACCCGAGGAGAGGAGCGAGAGTGGGTTGGTTGATGACCGACAGGGCAGGGCACCGTATCCCATTTGCATACTCACATTCTGGAAGCCAAGGGGCCTCTAGAACGAAGATGTTCAGTACTAAGCAAAGTGGGCAAGAAATGAGAAAAAAAGGTGCAATGTGCAGGGAGCAGGGCTGGGGCCACTGGGAGAGGAGGAGGCTTCCTGGTTCAGAATCTGGTCATCCAAGGGCAACTCTTTAGAATCCAAAACACGTGGATGCAGGGTTGATGGGTAATTTACAGGTTTGGGCTGACATGTGAGGGACTCTCCAGTGCTTTTGAGCTGGCCTAGGGCCCACGCTGCTGGCTGTGGGAGGCTGGCGTGTCAGAGGCAGAGCTAACCAGCTGCCTGCTTGGATCCCCCCGGCACTCAGAAAAGGGCTGACTTTTTTTTTGTGCGTGGCCTGGGTTTTGTGCTTCTGCACAGGTTTGACCACACAGTCCAGGGGCTGACAAAGGGGACTCGGAGGGGCCACCAAAGGCTCTATGCCTGTGCTGAGGATGGAGTTTAGGAATCATGGTTGGGCATGGACGGTGGCAAAGGGCTGGCCCCTGCTTACCCTCACTGCAGGGCTGGGTTCTGCTGCCTGCGTCAGCACTCACTGTGGGAGTGGGTCTCAAAGGGGCATGCTGGAAATTTGTGGGGGCATTTTTTGGTGCAAACAATGACCACAGGGACTACTGGCTTTGTGGTCCAGGACTGAGGACGCTCGAGGTTCTGCCAGGCAGAGAAAGCCCCACACAGACAGACGGCACTGTGGCTATCGTCACTCCCTTGGCTTCTGATTTGGGTGGCAGATCTGTGTTTGGGGGTCTGGTCTAGTTCCATGCCTGTGTTCTGTCAACACCACCCACTTCTCTCATGGCTGTGATAGACCCTGGATTTCCCAGTGCTGCAGCTATGGCACAGACAAAGGGAGGATCCAGACTTTGTTTTGCTCCAAGCTTTGCCAAGCTTTGGTCATAATTTCAGAAAACCACAGCCCTAGTGAATGCTAGAATTACCAAAGCAAGGCTCACTGTCTGGTGGAATCCTCAGAAATTTTACCTGAATGCACGCATCTGAGGACTTGATTTGTCATCTAGGGTAGTTGTGCCTAAACATTTACTATCAGATGTTATTGTGTATTGTATCTATTTCCGTTGTTTTTGTATTACCGTTAAAGCATTACATATATGATCTATCTATTTATCCATGTATCAGCTATCTGTTATATCATCTATCATCTGTCTATCTAGTCTATCTATATCATCTTTATTTTTCTGTCATCTATCCATCTGTAGCATCATCTGTCCATCACGTTATAGACACATTATGTTATCCAAAAGTTTCATTGCAGGATAGTAGAGAGAATGTTAAAATTATTCATGATTAAAGGTGCTGTTTGAGTCTAGCATTCATATACAAGTTGCTGATGGAATGGCCCTAGAGCCCAGCCTCCCTCCACAGAGCCCCCGCCTTTGGAAAAATGGTCTGCCTAAGGCTCACCATGCCCTTGCTGCTTTGCTCTGCAGGCGCTGGGCCGGATCCCCCAGGCCAGTGAGCCCTGGCTCTGTCTCTCCCTCTGTCAAACTTGCCTGGAAGTTTGTTGCTGAGTCTGTCCTGGCCGAGGCACCTGTTCCCTTTAGAACATCACATCCAGCCAGTTCCTGGAGGTGGCTGAGTGTTTGCTTTCAGGACATTCAGTAGTACTGGGAAATGTGTGTTGACACAGGAGATAAGACGGTCAGATGGGAAGAGAGGAAGGAGGCGGCCACTGCCCGGCAGGCAGCCGGGAGGCCTGTGGATCCCAAGATTGGGGGCGATTCTTTGGGTTCGTCTCAATATTGTGGGAGGAAAACATAAAGGAGCCCAGAGCCACTTCTTGAGGACTCTGGAAACTGTGCGTATGAAATAGGCACCAACACTGAGCTGTGACCTCTTTGAATATGACGAGGGTAAATTCCTAATTCCCCTTTTCCAGGTTTAGAACACTTAAAAGCATTTTCCTGAAGCCCTTCTGCCTCCATCCAGTAGGATGCCCTCCCACCTTCTCACAGAGGCCCTATGTCTTTCCATGTGGCAGCTGAATTGGGTTTGGGGATCCCCCTTTGAGAGGCAAAGCCTTTGATGTGCACCAGGGAGCGGACCGATCTGAAGCAGTCGTTTGACTTCAGCAACTGCTTCCGTTTCCTCATGGCAGGTGTGCAATAGGTCATGTTTCTTTGTTGATTCTGAAATTAGCTTTGAGAAGAATTCTGGAAGAGGAGACCCAAAGCTATCTAGAATAAAATCCTGGAAAGAAGTGGATGGCCATCCCCAGACAACGTGACTTTGGTTGTGTAAGTTCTGGTGGTTTTCTGGGGAGACACCAGGCTTAGGGTCACTCCATGTGCACATGCTGGGTTATTCTGAGTTGGAAACCATGAGTGCATGCTGCAGCTGGTTGTTATGGAGTCCCGTGCACTGTTGTCCTGAGAAAAACTTGGATAGGGAGGGTGTGTGTGTGCATGTGTGGCTAAGTGCTGTGTGTATATGTGCCCACATGTGTACGTGTGTTGTGAGCATGTGTGTACAACTGTGTGTTTGTGTTGCATGGGTGTGCATCCTGTTCATGTGCCTGGGGAGGGTCATAAGAGGGGTAGGAAGAGGACAGACAGGCCCCCAGAAGCCCTTTGCAGCAGGCAGTGGGCAGGCAGGATTCACAGGACCTAGCCTGGCTCTGACAGGCATTTGGAGGCCTCCCTCTGGGTCTTCTAGGAGCTTCGTTAAGCTGTGGACACATCTATTCCAGTTTGAGAGATGGGTGCACATGAGACTTGATGTGTTCCTGTGTGTGTTTGCAACTCCTTGCACCATCCAGTGACAAGCAGACCCTGGCAATGGTGGCCGAGCAGTGCAGCCTCATGGAGACCCCAGCCTTCCTTGAGGATGGTGTTGTGCCCACTTTCTGTGCCCACGGACCTTCACCTGCACCTTTGCAGCAAAACAGCATTTGGACCTGGGAATTTTTTGGATTATGGTGTGGATACTACATACCCTACACCACCCCTCAAGGTGTGGGGAGCACCCTGTAAGCAAATGGGTTAGTATTTCACAGTGAAACCAAATCAGGCAAATAAAGACTCACGGGCATTCAGGTCAAGCTTGGCCTCCAAATGAGTTATGGAGTAATGGTCAGTTCTCAAAGTTCATTGGGTTTTGAGTGACTGCATAGCAATTTCAGACCTGCAAAAGTCAACAAATTCAGTTGACCGAACAAACCCAGTTGACCCAAAAGTCAGGCCCCTTCTTGGCCACAGGACTTGGCTCTGTTTGCAGATAGGCCCTGTGCCCTCAAGCGGTGGCTGGGTAGGGGACCTAAAGGCCAGCACCAGAGGTGGATGCTACTGGGAAGAGACCTGGGGCAGGAGCGACCTGAGGATGAGCTGCTTGGCCCAGGTCCAGCCTCTGCTGAGGTGAATCAAGCCTTGGATAGTCTGGAGCCCCCAGGAAGGTTGGGTGGGGCAACAGCCAGGACAGCCAAAGGATTGACCAGAGACAACTGGCTCTGGGCTGGGCACAGTGGTGCAGGCATGTAATCCCAGCACTTTGGGAAGCTGAGGTGGGAGGATTACAAGGTCAGGAGTTCGAGACCCATCTGGCCAACATGGTGAAACTCCTGTCTCTACTAAAAAAATACAAAAAGTAGCCAAGCATGGTGGCATATGCCTGTAATCCCAGCTACTCAAGAGGCTGAGGCAGGAGAATTGCTTGAACCTGGGAGGAGGAGGTCGTAGTGAGCTGAGATCGCACCATTGCACTTCAACCTGGGCGACAGAGCAAGTCTCTGAAGAAAAAAAACAAAAAACAAAAAACAGTGGCTCTGGTGTGGGCACCAAGTACTTAAGAGTTCATCTGCTTGGCCCAGTGAGTGCCCTGGGGTAAGAGAGGGGTGGCTCCTTTGTCCCATGTCACGCTGCCTTTTGTCCCAGTGGACCCAGCAGAGGCTGGACCTGGGCCAAGTAGCCCATGTTCAGGGACAGGGGCAAAGGGGGAAGGCGAGAAGGGGAGTCTCCCTCCCCAGTGCCCTGGCAGGTAAGGAGGCCACAGACGTGAGGGCTCTGTGAGTCCCGTCACTAAGAACGCTGGTGCCAGCTGTCCTGCATCCTGA